GTCTCTTCTTCATTTTCATTAATTAACTCTGGAAATGAACTGAATTAGAATAGATTTCTTGATTGAAATGAAAATAATTCTTCAAAGAAAATGCCTTCTCAACTTTACAGACTATGCTCTCTGATTAAAAATTAATTTTCTTCTTTAAATATTGAAAAAGTTGATCATGAGAAGTTATCTCTCTGGAGAGAAAAGCTTGAATCTCTTATAGACTTATAAATAAGTGAACTATCAAAAGAGAAAGAATATGAACAGTATTTGAAGAGAATTTCTACAATCAATATAAAAGACTCTATTCTGATTTATTCAGATGACTCAAAAAATGAGAACTTGAATAGATTAGATGCAGACATTGCTTATACTGAAGATAATATTAATTTTATCTTAGATTTCTGAAATCTAGACTCTGAATGTGAAGTCTTTGATGCTGAACTATTTGCAATAGTGAAAGCTTTCAAACTCATTGAAATAAAATCTTATAAAAGAGGAAATTGTTTGAAAGAGATATGAATATTCTCTGATAGTCAAGCTGCTTTAAAAAGACTTAGAAATAGTCAGATTTATAATGATCAAATGAATCTTGAACTGATCTTAAACTCTGTTTTGAAAATTCAAAAGAGAAGAATATCAAAGCTGATAATTCATCTGCACTGAGTTCCTGCTCATATGAATATTCATGGCAATGAATTGACTGATTCAGCTGTAAAAAAGAGTGCAGAATTAAGCAGATCTCTTCAAAAAATTGTGTCCTGGTCTTTTATAAAGAGAAAAATAAAAGAATCTTATTTAGATAAGTGAAATGAAAGCTGGCAGAAACAAAAGAAGAGTATACATTATTCAAGATTTGAAACAAAACTCAAGTGGAAATCTTGTTCAATTAAATATAAAAAGAAAATATTCTCATCTATAATACAGCTGAAACTAGGACATGACTATTTCAAATCTTATATACAAAGATTTGATGATAGATTTGACTCAATAGAATGCTCATTCTGCAATACAAATGAGAATTCTGAGTATATTATAATGCACTGTGTATTATACAATAGTCTCAGAGCAAGATTGAAAGAGAAGTATGATCTAAATTAATTAAATATGAGATTCTTATTCTCAACTGAGACAGGAATTAAATACTTAATAGACTTTCTATCAGAAACTCAAGCAGCTACAAGAAAATGACTAAATTCAGAATTATCTGAATATGAAGAGGAGGAAATTAATCAGATATAGTCTGTTAAAACAGCTATACACTCTCTTTTAATAATTTGTTTTATTATAGTCTCTCTTTACTTTATCTTTTTCTTTATCTTTTTCTTTCAATTTCTTTCTATCTATCTATTTAATGTGTCTATCTTTGAGACTGTGTTCTTTTTCTCTTTTCTTTTGTCATGATATTGTCAAATGATTTCAAAGTATCAAAAGATGTTAAAACACTGTAATTTATAAACAGTTTTTGTATTCTGAGCTGGAATTTTCTGATTTTGCATATCTGAAATTGATGAATGTATAATAGTTAACTTTACAGACATAGAAAAAACCCTGAGAACTAAAGTTCTCAGGTAGATATCATAGTCTCTGACTGCATACATCTATAATTGAAGAATAATAATAATAATTTAATATATCTATCTTTAAGACTTTGTTCTCTTTTCTTTTATTATGTTATTTCTGAATGATTTCAAAGTATCAGAAGATGTTAAAATACTGTAATTTATAACTAGTTTTTATATTCTGAGCTGGAATTTTCTGATTTTGCATATCTGAAATTGACAAATGAATAACTAATAGTTAGCTTTGTAGATATTAGAAAAACCCTGAGAACTAAAAGTTTTCAGGTAGATGTCATAGTCTCTGACTGCATACATCTCTCTATATATTAAAGAAAAACTAACTTTTCCGTGTAAAAAACGCTGTAACGTGACCTCACATGACATCACATGCATCTCATCAAAAATCCATGGATATGTAGTGGCGCCTGTCAATTGCATTACTCTATCTACCTTCTATCATCACCACCGCCTTTAACGCCCCGTAGCATTCTCTATTACTTTCACTTCATACCTCTACCTTCATCTTATCACTCACTCTTATCATCTCTATCACCTCTACCACCTCTATCATCTCTATCACTTCTATCACCTCTATCACTTCTATCACCTCTATCACCTTTATTATCACTGTCTCTATCACCTCACAGCTCTCTCTATCACTTTCACTTTATATCTCTACTCTACTCTCATCTTATCACTCACTCTCTTATCATCTCTATCACCTCTATCACCTCTACACTTCTTTCACTCTGACTCTCTCTTATCACCTCTTATCACCTCTTATCATCTCTATTACTTCTACTACCTCTATCACTTCTATCACCTCTATCACCTCTATTATCATCACTGTCTCTACTGTCTCACAGCACTCTCTATCACTTTCACTCTCTATCTCTACTCTTATCTTATCATTCTATCTCTCTCTTAGTATCTCTATCATCTCTTTCATTTCTATCATCTCTATCATCTCTCTTTATCACCTTTTTCACTCTCTAGTCTCTCTATTATTATTATTATCTCTACTACTCTACAGTCTCTTTTATCACTTTTACTATCTCTACTTCTCTCTTACTATCTCTGTCATATTTTAATCTCTGTATTTATAGTATATACTGCTAAATACTCTGTAATAAAATCTCATGTAATATTATATACATCTCTTTGAATTCATAAATAAAATTGAATAGCTAACTCTGTAGTCTGTACAGCTCTGATTAATCTGATAATAATAATAGAGATAATACAGAGTGAAAGAGAGTAGTAGAAGAAGTAGAGATAATAATAATAATAATAATAAGAGAGTAGAGAGTGAAAGAGATGAAAAGAATGATAATAGTAAGTAGAGATAGAGAATAAAAGTGATAAAGAAGATTGTGAGATGATAGAGATGATAATAATAATAAAGAGAAATTACAGAGTGATAGAGACAGTAGTGATGATAGAGAAAGTAGAGAATGAAAGAAGTGAAAGAGATGAAAGAGATGAAAGAAGTGAAAGAAATGAAAGAGATGAAAAAGATGATAAGAAGTGATAAGAGAGAGATAGAGAGTGATTCAGAAAGAGAATAAAAGTGATAGAGAGATAGCAGAGTGATAGAGATAATAATAATAGTAGAGAAAGTAGAGAGTGAAAGAAGTGAAAGAGGTGAAAGAAATGAAAGAGATGAAAGAACTGAAAGAGATAATAAGAGGTAATAAGAGAGAGATAGAGAGTGATCTGAGAGAAAAGTGAAAGTGATAGAGAGATAACAAGACAGTAGAGACGGTGATGATAATAGAGAAGATAAAGAATAAGAGATGAAAGAGATAGAAGAGATGATAGAAGTAATACAGAGTGATACAGAGTGAAAAAGAGTAATAGAGAAAGAGAGTGATAGAAGCAGTAGAGAGAGTAATAATAGAAGTGATAGAGATGATAATAATGATAGAGAAAGTAGAGAGTAAGAGATGAAAGAAGTAGTAAAGAGAGAGTAGAAAGTGATTGAAAATAAAAGTGAAAGTAATAGAGAGAGCTGTGTAAGTAGAAAAGTAAGTATAAGTAAGCATTTAATACTTATCTATAATGAAAGAATAATCTCTCTATATATTATAGAAAAACTAACTTTTTCAAGTAAAATGTTCTGTAATATAATCTCATATAACATTACATGCACTTCATTAAAAATTCATGAATATATAGTAATATCTATCAATTGTATCACTCTATCTACTCTCTATTATTATCACTATCTTTAATATTCTATAATACTCTCTATTACTTTCACTTCATATCTCTATCTCTATCTTATTACTTACTTTTATTATCTCTATCATCTCTATTATCTCTACTCTCTCTATTATTATCACTGTCTCTACTGTCTTATAATACTCTCTATTACTTTTACTCTCTATCTTTATTCTTATCTTATTATTCTATTTCTCTCTTATTATCTCTATTATCTCTCTTACTTCTATTATCTCTATTATCTCTCTCTGTCATCTTTTTCACTCTCTAATCTCTCTATTATTATTATTATCTCTACTACTCTACAGTCTCTTCTATTACTTTTACTATCTCTACTTCTCTCTTACTATCTTTATCATATTTTAATCTCTATATTTATAGTATATACTGCTAAATACTCTGTAATAAAATCTCATGTGATGTCATATATATCTCTTTGAATTCATGAATGAGATTGAATAGCTGACTCTGCAATCTGTACAGCTCTGATTAATCTGATAATAGTGATAGAGATGATACAGAGTGAAAGAGAGTAGTAGAAGAAGTAGAGATGATGATAATGATGATGATGAGAGAGTAGAGAGTGAAAGAGATGAAAAGGGTGATAACAGTGAGTAGAGATAGAGAATGAAAGTGATAAAGAAGCCTCAAACCCATAGAAGATGATGATCGTGATAGAGGGGGA